AATATATGCCAAGTTGTTTGTTATTTTTATTTTACTGTCAATGAACTCAGACCACAGGGACCCAAACAACATAATCATTTACAGTCATGTAAAATAAACATACTGTTATTCGCTAGGCCGATTAACTAGCTGAACATTCTATCTAGGTGTTTGTTTACAAACCAACATTCTCTAGTTAAATATGACTTTTGTTTTCATTCATTTAACCTGGTGACCAGGCGGTTCAAATTCCAAAACTGTGCAACTTTCAGAAATGGCTGAGAGAGGAAGCATTTTTAATGACTTCACTAACCAATTCTGGTTTGAAACCCTCTTGCATGGAAATTTCGCTGTAAAGTGATGAAAAGAGAACTTCAGACTATCTAGATGTGTGTTTGAACATCTTGTCCAAGTGGCTGGTCCAGATTTGGCTTACATTTTGGCCACGAAAACAAAACGTTGTCGAAAACGTGACCAAATGAGATTGACACAATCTGGACAGCACAGGGTGCGAAATACCATGCTTTCAAGGTGGACCACTTTTCTCAGTTGGACCGGTCTGATCGAAATGGACCATTCCATTTCACCATTCCCACCCATTCTCAATCCCAGTACCTCGCTGTTTGGTATTTTCCATGTACAACATGAGGAAAACACTTATCATTGCAGCTTTTATAGATTGTTAACAGCGGATCTATCGGTGTTACTCGTACATCCATGCGTAGTTACAACAGGTCTGTAGCTGCTTCACAAGCCAAGAGTATGTTTTGGCTTTTAACAGCTCTTAAAGACGATTTATTTCAAGAGAAAATTTGGAACTTTCTTTTTGTCATTCAAAAGTGGTGTTTGAACTGATACGGCATATATCTGGGAATGGCCCACTCAAAATAATACTATGTGTGAAACGGCTCACACATTATCATTGATATCACCATCAAAATCATCATCTAGCTCTAATACGAGCAACAGTGATCCAACATCCTCCATTTTAATGAGCGCGAAACTCGTTTTGCGAGTGGAATGGAACGGGACCGTCCAGACCCATCGCGATCCATTCGACACCAAGAACTTTTCGACCCTCAGCCGGAAATTTTAGTTGAATGGATCACGCCCAGAGTAACTATTCAAAGTTTCCATTGTGATTTAACCAAACCCTTAAATTGTAGAATGATATAAAAAATAAAAAAAGACTCTTATTTACTGTTATTGCAATGTTTCCCAGGTAGTTGTATGTAATCATATGCAGAGGGTAATGATTGCCACTGTATATAGCAGAACTACAAAAAGCCATTCTTTTTTATGCCAGGTACCCAAGAATTTATCGGCTGTCACATCCAGTCTCGCACATTAGCACGACTATTTTATGGCCCAAATTTTGCTGATTTCTTGCTCAGATTTTTGTCCAAATCTCAGGGTGGTACAAATGTCTCCCTCCTTTCTTGTTCATTTATCGTTCAAGTTTTATCGCTCCTGTCAGCCTGATTATAGTCATGTTCTGTCTCTCTCACTAGCGTGATATTTTATGGCCAGAATCTTACCCGTGTCTCACGCAGTCCTACAGGTACTTATTCCTACTTTTTTTCCTACAGAAGGCATTAAACCATACCTGTCACAATAAGACTGACACTGCTGACCTGATCCTGAACACCTGCAGTTGATTCTGCTCTTAGAGTGCACCGGAAGATTGTACTATCTTGAAAGGTGATATTTTCAATTACCAGAGTAGCTCTTCCCTCAATGCCTACTCGTCCAATGTAAGCTGATGGTATCCCAGACAAAATTGCTCTGTCACCATTCTTGTACTCTAACACCAAATTTGTAAACCAACTATTGAAGTATACTGACCAGATGATACCCTTGAGCTCTGTCTGTCTATCAGTAACACTGTAGTCCCATACAAGTGTGGCATTGTTTCCCTTCTTGACGTAGCTTGGGTTGGCTGGTTCTTTTGTGAAACTTACAGCTTCCTCTTGAAAAATAAACATCAGAAAGTTACAAGAAAGATAAAC